AAAAGAACTACTCATTTTTATTTTACATAAACAGTAAGTAATGATTTTTATTCCTCATTCAAAGAAGAAATCACCTGAATATGCATTTCTTGATTTTCTGTCTGAAATGAGCCAAGTCGTAAGTGTGTGAAAGTTGAAGCTTCGGTCAACTAAATGTTTACTGAAGAAGAAATGTCATGTTTAACTATTTGAGAAGATAATCAGAATAGAGGCTCCAAAAAGTCTGGTATTTTGCAATAATCTTTTCTGTATGTCGAAAACAAATTCATTCCCTGACCTCGACTTTTGATAAACACCTTACGTCAAAACCACTCCTCTTTCTGGTCCATCCACGAATCAGAAAGCTCTAAAGTAAACCCGGAAGTAAACTCATTTAAAATGTGAGAACTTCCCGGTTCTGTTAGAGAGTTGGAATGGTGAAGAGTGCAGTAGATTCCATAGAGTGCAGTAGATTCCATGGAGTGCAGTCGGTTCCAAGAGATTCCAGAGAATTAGAGTTATGGAGAGTTTTGGAGTTGGAGTCTGAGAAGATCTGAAAGAGTCTGAGGTGTGCTGACAATGAAGAGTCAGAGTTGCCGAGAATCCAGAGACGTTTTGGGATTATAATTCTGTTTTGAGCTAACCACGCACGACTCTCCAAGGATTTTAGCTGTTCTCAACGGAGACGCTGATATCAGTCTGAAGGGTTCTTACTGAGGTGATCTATCGTCAGCAAGGTAACGGTTTCTTCTTCGACTAAAGTGTACCTGGGATAAGCTGAGATACCTGATGGGAGCGTGCAATTTCTGGTCAAACAGATTAAATTCCCTCACATATTCCTCTGTAAGATAAAATCTCCAGTTCATCTTAAACTCACCTCTCTCTCATAAATCAGTACAGATATTTTTAGAAATATCTGAAGCAAAGTCCTCAAATCACCGCCGAGTGATTTGAAGTTCATTATTTGTGAAACTGTCTGTTATTATTTTCATATTTTGCCAAATTAATGTAAATGTTTGATGTTAAACTTTGATTCTGAAAATAAATGACTCCATTCATTTGATGGGTCAAAGATAATAACGTCTCTCGTTACATTCCTGTCAAATTCAATACACGACATTACAGTCAGAAAAATGAAGAACTCGTGAAAAGTATGCATAAATATATACCACATATATTTGTCATACAACAAGTGACACGTACCCACGTGACTCACTACAGTGGTTCAAAATGTCCTGATACATGCTCAATAATCCAACTGTTATTGCAAGTATTACTCAGCACTCTGTGAATAGCAAGCGGCCATCAGATCAACGCACTAACGATTGGTCATTAGACTGATGGTCCTCCTTTTTGCATGTGAACAACTAGTTTTGGCTGTCCCCAGCAAACTGTCTGATCCACTATCAGAAGGTGCTGCTTATAAGACTGAGTTTGTTGCAGCTCCTCAGACTGAAGAAGTCTTTTGGATGAAAGACGAAACGGTTCAACAAAGAAGAACCTGTCCAGAGGACCTGACTCAACCTAACCTCCTTCCTAGATAAAAAATTTTACTAATTAGCTTTTCTATAAATGTGAATGCTCCTGTAAAGTGCCCTGAGGCAACTTCTGTTGTGATTTGGCACTATATAAATAAACTGAATTGAATTGAAAAGGAGGTCATCTTTGTGAAGCCAACTTGTCCATCATTAAACAGGGGTGGAGACCTCCGTGTTCAACTGTCCCCCTCTTACAATGCTGTTATTGCTAGTATCACTCAGCCCTCTGTGAATAGCAAGTGGCCATCAGGGCACTAACGATGGGTCATTAAGATGACAGTGCCTTTTGTATGTGAAAAACTAATTTTGTCTTGTCACCAGCAGACTGGTTGATCCACTATGAGAAGATGCTGCTTAGAAGACTGAGTTTGTTGAAGCTCCTCTGACTTAAGGTCTTTTGGATAAAAGCTGAAATGTTTCAACAACAGAAGAATCATTCCAGAGGACCTGAGTCAACCTTGTTAGATGTCAAATGTTATGCTTTTGAGAAATCAGGTGTGCACCTCCCTTAACAGGCAGTAGATGACAGTGTGATAGGAAGACTTAAAATTGGTTAATAACAATCTATAATCCCCGTGACCCATCCATCATCTTTACCTGCTTCTTCCTTTTTTAGGTCAGCAGACAAGTTGAAGCTTCACTTTGTCACAGTCTCCCATCCTGAGCAAGCACAAAAGCAACAGTGGAAAGGAAAAACTCCCTTTTAACAGGAAGAAACCTTTAGCAGACCCAGGCTCAGGACAAGCGGCCATCTGCTTTGACCTGCTGGGTCTAAGAGAAGGAGAGGCAAACAAACACAAAATGGTAGGTCCAGGTGTACCTGAAAGACCAAAACACATGTGAAAGATAGAAAAAATAATTACAAATACAAAACAGGTTGAGCAGAGTAAGTAAAGACAGTAGCAGAGTGACAAAAATGTGCTCAGTTTGTCCTCCAGCAGTCTAAGCCTATAGCAGCATAACTAAGGGACAGCTCAGGAAACCCAAGCCGACCTTTACTATAGGATTTATCAAAAAGGAAAGTCTTAAGTCCAGTTTTAAAACTGGACAATGTGTCAGCCTCCCAGACAGAAACTGGAAGTTGGTTCCACAAGAGAGGAGCCTGATAACTGAAAGATCTTTCTCCCATTCTGCTTTTGGAAACTTTAGGCACCACAAGTAAACCTGCAGCCTGAGGGTGAAGTGCTTTGTTACGAAAATATGAAACGATAAGATCTGTACTATATGATGCAGCTAGGTTGTTGAGAGATTTGTAGGTTAGAAGTAAGATTTTGTGTTTTATTCTGGATTTGACAGGAAGCCAATGGAGAGAAGCTAAAACTGGACTGATCACTCTCCTGACACTTAAAAGCATACACTATATTACTCTGGTTGTGCCGGGGGACTTGATTTTGGGATGAACCAGTCTTTGCCGTAATGTATTTTGGGGATTGAAAGCCACTCAAATAAACATCTCATTTTATCTGTAACTCCCTCAACATACAGAATGACCACGGATCTGCGTCTGGGTTCCTCCTTTTCACCTGTTGGCTGACTGGAGTCCTGTTTGGGTTTCTTCTCTGCTTTCAGGAAGGCCCAGTTAGGATATCCACATTGCTCTAGAGCCTGTCTTGTGTGGGATTTCTCCTTCTGCCTGGCTCCTGAGCTAGTGGGGACGCTGTCTGCTCTGTGGTACAGAGTCCTGATGACTCCTAACTTGTGCTCCAAAGGGTGATGGGAGTCAAACTGCAAATACTGGTCTGTGTGGGTGGGTTTGCGGTACACCTCAGTTTGCAAATGTCCTCTATCAGAGACTGAGACCTCACAGTCCAAGAAAGCCAACCTGCCATTTTTTACATCTTCTCGTGTGAACTTGATGTATTTATCCACAGAGTTGATGTGGTCAGTAAAATATTGGACTTCCTGAGATTTAATTTTAACCCAGGTGTCGTCAACATACCTGAACCAATGACTTGGTGGTGTCCCTGAAAAGGACGTCAAGGCTCTCTTTTCTACCTCCTCCATGTACAGGTTGGCAACAATAGGAGAAACTGGAGACCCCATAGCACACCCATGTTTCTGCCTATAATATTGCTTCCCATATGTGAAGTAGGTTGACTGCAGGCACAGTTTCAAGAGTTGACACAGTTGTTCTGTGGAAAGAAGTGTCTTACCGCTAAGAGTGATGTTTGATTTTAACCTTAAGGTTCAAGGTTCAGTGAGACTTCCATTTGTATCACATGTGGTACATGAGGTGGAATGAAATTGTGTACTCAAGGTCCCAGTTACACCCAAAAATAGCAAATATACAAAGTATAAAAAAGAGACGTATACAAGGATCCAAGATATACAAGTCAAGTCAAGTCAGATTTATTTATAGAGCACATTTAAAACAGAAACTGTTACCAAAGTGCTTAACAAAAATATCACACCATCAAATAAAAAGTAGCAAGATATATTTACAGCACATGGAATAAAAATATAAAACCAAAAACAATTAGAAATAATGAAATACTAAATCAGATCACGTTGTGTCAAAAGTCAAGGAAATAATAACAAAAAGCATAAACTCAGTCAGAAACAATGAAATACTAAATCAGATCAGATGACCTTGTGTTAAATAGGAATAATAACAAAAAGCATAAACAGAATCAGCATCAATGAAAAACTAGATCTAAATCCAATCGCCCTGTGTTAAATGTCAATGAGTACAGATGTGTTTTTAGGAGAGATTTAAAAGCAGAGACTGAGGTGGCCTGTCGAATGTTGATGGGCAGATTGTTCCAAAGTTTAGGGCCCACGACTGAGAACGCTCGATCTCCTCTGAGCTTCAGCCTGGTTTTTGGTACGGCCAAAAGCAGCTGGTCTGATGATCTCAAAGCCCGAGAAGGATCATAAGGATGAAGAAGGTCAGAGAGGTATGATGGTGCGAGGCCGTTAATGCACTTGAATGTCAGCAGGAGAATTTTAAAATCAACTCTGACACGTACAGGAAGCCAGTGAAGGGAGGACAGAACCGGAGTAATGTGCTCAAACCTGTGAGTTCCTGTTAAAAGCCGAGCTGCAGCATTTTGTATGAGCTGGAGACGTGAAAGTGAAGCCTGACTAACCCCAACATAAAGTGAGTTACAGTAGTCCAGCCGGGTTGTAATAAATGCATGGACTAGTTTTTCAAGGTCGAATCTGGACAGAACGGACTTCAAAGCAGAAAGCCTAAATGATAGTGAGGTGATTGATCTCTAAATCAAGTGATAATCAATGAGAATGTGTAACAGATAATCAGAAGGATCTGTGAAAACAAAAAGGGTTTAGGTGTCACATTCGTTTAAAGATTTGAACACAAAAATATAAATTAAAGCTCTGATGGGGCAGTATACAGCAACATACAAACTTGAGAAGACTCACTAAGAAACAAAGGAAGTGAGATGACCAGGATGACATCTAATGATGCAAAATGCTAAACTTAGGACAACGATTAGACAAACATATATAAAGTCAACCCTGATGAACAAAATCACAAACACCCAGCAGACGGACGAACAGGTGAGTGCGGGCAGAAACAGAAGGGCAGGAGAGGACACTGGAGAGGAGGAGGAACAACGACAACAACAACACAGTGTTTCCTTGACTGATGAAGCCTTCTGGATGGAAGGTGAAAGTTTCAGCACAAAAAAAAAGAAACTGTCCAGATGACCTGACTGAAAATTGTTGGATTGTATACCTGGATTATTGAGCATGGACTTTGTTGGTTTTGAACCAGTTTGACATGACTGTTGATGAGGAAGAGGGCCGGCACTGGAGGAGGGGGTGTGCCAAAGAGACCATCTTAGCACCAACATAACTGGTTTGTTCCACTTTGGAGTAAGCAGTTTGGGGGAAGAATCAGTTTTGTGTTGTGTGTTTCCTTGACTGATGAAGCCTTCTTGATGGAAGGTGAAACGTTTCAGCAGAAAAAAAAAAAAAAAAAGAAACTGTCCAGATGACCTGACTGAAAAATGTTGGACAACAACACAGTGTCGTCAAAGGATCGTCACCAGATGACCCAACACAAACTACAAAAAAACACAGTGTCAGGAGGGCTAAGGGACACAGGATGGAGGGATCTAATACAAAATGCAAAAAATAAAAACAACAACAAAAACCTGTCACGATACAATAAGATGGGCACAAGGAAAAGAGAAACAGTCCGAAACAAAAAAAAACTTAGATGTGGACAACCTGGAGACCATCCAAACTGGAGAGGCAGTTCAGGTGGGTGACATGAAGACGGTCCAAACTGGCAGGGGAGAGGGGTCCTTCATGACCCCTTCAGAAACCTCTGTTGGTGCAGCCAAGAAAGTTTCTGGTTCTGGGTTTTTTGGAGACTCAGACATAGGAGGAGCCTGGAGAGTCAGACAAAAGAGGTTCTGGAGTCAGACACAGGTGGCCCATGAGTCAAAAACAGGGGACCATGGAGGGCTTGTGATGACAGAGCCTCTGGAGAACCTGCAAGCCACTCTGGGGACGCAGGAGGATTAGGCAGTTCCGACATACAGCCAACTCTGAGGAGGCAGCAGGATCAGCCAACTCTGGAGGTGTGGCTGGCTCTGGGGGTGCGTCGTTTTTGGAGGTGCGACTAGAATGCAATGGTGATGAGGCTGGCTCTGAGTGACTGCTGGACTCACAGTAACAGCAAGACTTGATGAGTAGGACTGACCCAATGTGTACGTCGTCTTCATTTCCTCCAGCAGATCAGCTATCCCCCGTGAACTGACCAGCCAGCAAAGGGTGGCGAGCATACTTCTTCAAGAAGTCATATGCACCCAGGTACTACTGAGTCCACATATCAAAGGAGCTGGCCACCAGGTCAATGTTATTTTTCACCACACCATGAAGCCACAAAAATCCTCATTGGACAGGGCCACGAGGCAGCCTGCTGGGTTCTGGAAGGAGTTCAGCATTCTGTTGCAATCAGATAAAGGTTTGGATCTAGAATGCAGGCTGGACTGTAAGCTATCAAAAACCAAATTGATTTATTCACAAATAAATAAATAAATAAATATAGGAAGCAGAGGAGCTTTGCAGAGCATTACTTTGCTTCCTATAATTTTGTATTGGAAGGGCCAAATTATTTAGCAAAAAAAGTTTTTTTAAGTTTTAAGTACAATAGTATTTATTTGTCCTGATGTATTTTCTTTCAAACCACGGTTCCAGTGTGGCTGTAATTCAGGAGATAGATTTGTCTCCCTGCAGTGTAGAAGGCCTTCCTGCAGTGATTTCATTTGGTCGCTAGGGGGAGCCCGTGAACAAAGCTGCTTTCTTAGTGGGCTCATTAAAGAAAGAGGAAAAAGACGGAAAAGAACCCGGATGTACAGTAGTGTTGCACCTCCCCCCTCCGCCATCGCTTTTTGACAAAGCGAGCCTCCTCCTCCGCTTACTGTCCCCTCCCAGCGGCTCTCACTCCCTTTACCACTGCAGTGGAAGCCTCCGTAAAGGAGAGAGACGGCGAAGAGAGTCTGAAGCTGATTATAAATCCAGGACCAGACTTCCGAGAGGCACCTCCACCTCATTTTTCTGTATTTTCGCCACAGCTCGGCGGCCTGCTGACTCTTCCTGTGTAAGATCTGTTCCGTTCTCGTTGCCTGGATTTCATCATCCGACCTGCAAGATGGTAAGCAGCAGTGACTCCTATTTTCAGCCGACTGGTAAACACACCAGTTGGGCCTGTGTCGAATAATGTGGCGTTTTGACAGGTTGATGTCCGCAGCGAGCGTTTCGGTTTGAACTAGCCGTCGATAACGTCGAGTTTTCGGGAGGAGGAAACGCTTTTTCTCGCCACTTTTGGCTCCGCGTCGCGGTTTCTGTGCAGTAATACTCCAGGGCTCTGACAGGAGCCTGTGGCCCAGATACCTCCTCCACAATATGGCACACTCCTGTCAGCTAGCAGGCCTCTGCAAATTAGTAGGTGACAAAAAAAACAGGTTTTGAACGCCCGGTTCGGGATTAACGGTGGCACAGCCACGCAGCAGGCAGTGACTGCTCAGCGTCTTCACTTTAAGACGTCATTTATCTCCGGACATGTCGGCCGACGATGTGTTTTTATCTGCAACATGGACGAGCAGGAGTTCGTCCGCTCCGTCGTATGTTTCATTATCTGCACGGTTTCTGCAGGAGGCTGACATGGCAGGCCATTGGATTGCTACTCTGCAACACGCACGCACGCGCGTTGCCCAAGAAACTCACACAGTTAAAGGCAATCTTGATGTAATGCATTTACAAATCATAACTAAAATTGATTGTACTCTTTGAAAAGGGTCCGAATTCAATGGATAATTAGAGGAAAAATAATAGAATATCTGTGTAAAATCATAAAGATGGGTTAAATTCTAAAAAGTAAAGCTAGAATAAATTAATTGTCTATACTTGGCAACCTTTATGATCAACAGAGCCATTCATGCGCCTTTGTTCACTAAATTAAGTGTCCAGAACTGCTAAACCAGCTACAACTGTCATTATCAAGTGGTGGCCCATGGGCCACTTGAAGTTTGTTGAACGTTGCTTTCTGGCCAGCAGGGGTGACATTATAAAGCTGAAAATATCAAGTGATTTCTAACATTTGTTGATATTTTTACATTTTAAGACTAAATAAAAGACGTTCTTTTAAAGAAGGAAAAAATATATAGTTTTGCCCAATTAAAATAAAAACTAAAACATTGAACTATGCAGCTCTTTTACTTTGTGCTTTATTTCTTCAAAATAGGGCACTTCATTTTTCCACAATAAAAAAAAAAAAAAATCACAGTGAATATGTTTTTACTCCTTGTATTATCTAGTATTCACATAGATGCAAAGGAAATGACTGAAAAATTGCTTAACCAATCCCTTTTTTTGTTGTGACAGCAATCAATAAAATTCAGTTTTAAGTTGGTTTTGGTCAAAGTGTGAAGGAGCCGCTGCGGAGGAGCCAAAGGAGCCGCATGTGGCTCCAGAGCCGCAGATTGCAGACCCCTGGTCTAGACTCTGATAAAAAGGCTGAATATTATTAGAGCTGTACGTTATGTCTAAAATTTATTGTCATCACAATATCAGGAAGTGCGTGATTAGTATCACGAAGAACTGCTCATGTAAAAATCATATTTTATCAGTTTAGTCATGTTCTGCTGCTAATAACATGTCCAACAGCCTGTCAGTGGCCTTGATATTTGGTGATTTGTCAACTAAACCTGTTTAGTTCAAGGTGATGACAGAAAAGAAAATAGGGGCCTTATTGTAACTGATGTTGCAGTATAAAAATAAAACCCCCTGAATATTAATGCTTGCTATTTAAATGACTTCAGAGAAAGCTCCATCTAAAGGCAGGATGAAGAGGAGTATTGGGTCTGCAGGACCTGACAGAACGGTACCGTTCAGACCTAGAAACGCATTCATGTTCAACATGATCATGGATCAGAACATTCAGGGCCTGCATGCATTTTATTGTAAATACTTTATTTAGGTTAATGTAGGTTTTCTGCATGGCATCTGTCAAACTTTATTTATAAAGCACCATTCATACAGTGGAGCGTCACACAAAGATATAAACAAAAATAGGCAATATACTTCAACTATGAATTTAATTTGTTAATCATATCGGTTATTTCCTGAGTATTTTTATAATCATTTTACTTCTACTCTGTATTTTATACTTCAGTTCAATATGAAGTGATAAACCTGTCTATTGAGGTTATTGACCAAAGGTAAAAGTGTAATGATGCGCCTCATGGGACGGGAGCCTGGGTTCATGGGAGTGATACGACATTGTAAGTATTTCTTTTAAGAAAATTACATTTTGCAACAAACGCAACTGAGGAGCAGAGAAATGTGCTCTGTCAAGAAATCATTGTGTGAACACTAGTAACTGTTCTTTTTATATATAAAAGAAAAGAGCTGCACAGCAAACTCTTCATCTCAGCACGGAGCTGCTGCACACGAAGCCACCCCCACACCACAGTGAACGCATGGTCCTAGTGCCTGACATGTTTAAACTGCTGCCCCACAAATGATTTTAAGTGGTGGAGATGTCTTGGGGACAATTCACCAGACAAAATCATGGGACGTGTTTTTTTTGGTTTTGCAAGACACTTTAATTTCATTATATTTCATTCTAGTGTGATCTCAGCCCCACTAACCACAGTGTATGTAAAATCATGGCATGAGTAAACCTCAGGATAACACCCTGCACGATCTGGAAGATCTGTCTCGGTGACTGTTGGTTTTGATTCAGTTTATTTTTCTCCATTTGTTTCAAGTCAACGTTTTAGGCCATAGAGATTCTGTTTGGTTCACTTGGTACATGATTTATTGCTTTTTTTTAAATGTGTCTTTTGTAGGTTAAAGTAGGGCTGCGCGATGTATCGAATATACTCAAACTATCGCAAGTTTTTCAATTTACGATGGTGAAAATGGCTCTATCGCAACCATCGGGTATTTAGACTTGAAAATCCGTGTACTTCTTTTTCTTCCGTGTGCACCAACTGCACGAGGCCCCTCCTCCCTCACTGAATACAAACCCAGACCCTCACCTGCGCACGCTCCCACCGCTTCCTGCTTCTCCAGGTGGGCAGAAGTTAAGCAGAAGTAAACACTGACAGGATATCGAAGAGCAGCTCAGCTGCTGAGCAAAAATAAAAGCAATGGCTGTTATTTGGAGATGGTTTGGATTTAAATGGTCAGATGAGCAGCAGAAAAATGTTTTCTGTAGACGATGCCGAAAACAAGTCCCGACAAAAGGTCGGCACTACGAATCTTTTTCATCATTTAAAACAGCGCTTTAAGTGGAGTATGAAGCGTGTGTGAAGCTGCAGCTGTTGACCTCAGCCTCCTTCCCTGAGACAATCCACAGGTCTAAACTCATTTAGCCGTGCTGCGCCTTATGAGAGGAAATGTGAGAAGTAGTGCAACATTAATAAAGCAGCAGCTTATTATATCGCTAAAGACATGGTCCCAGTCTCAACTGTGGAACAAGACAGCTAAAGTTTTATCCGCTAAGGACTGTATCTTTAGTGATATGATAAGCAGATGCTTTTTTAATGTCGTGCTACTTCTCGCTGTAAGACTTGAAAATCCGTATACATAGTTCTCCTTTTTCTGCCCGTCTGCGCCGCCAGCTCCACGCGGCCCCTCCTCCTGTCCTCACTGAGTACAAACAGCCCCTCACCTGCTGCTTCACACACACTAACATCATGAAAGTGGTGCAACTGAAGAGGATTATTATTTAATATATGTAAATAAAGAGGATTAAGTAAATAAAGGTCTAAAGTAAATTTTATTTTTTAGACTTTTATTTTGTACTGTTACAGCTGTTTGTTAATAAATGTGCCTGTGGGACAATTGGCACAAAGCTTTGACTCAAATAAATTTTTTATTACTTTATGGAAAGAAAAAATATATGAGATATATATATATATATATATATATATATATATATATATATATATATATCACGATTTATCTTAAAATATTGATATTAATTTTGGTCCATATTGCCCTGCCCTAGGTTAAAGCTGTGATCAATTAAAGGCCTATCATTCTTGCCACCTTTCATGCCAGAGTTTGAAACTAAAAGCTTTTTATGTTGAGAAATGACAGTTTTAGACATTTAGCCGCACTTTGAAAATTATGTATGTGTAACATGAGATGTCCGGCTTAGAGTATGTGTTGGGCAATGACTCAGCTAAAGCTACACCAAATCTTAGCAAAAATACTTGTAAAACTGGCTGAAATGGCCATTTTGGTGTTTTTGAAGGCCGGCTAGCTGTGGTGGCCATTTAGAATCTTGTGGACTGACTCTGATCATTACTCAGTTGTAAATGTATATCCACTTTCTGACACTTTAATTAAAATTTGTCCAGTGGTTCTTGAGGTATTTTAGTAACAGACACCCAAACCCACATGCACCTTCTGCAGCTGGGTTAGAGTTATTAGGTTTGCTGACCAGGCTGACACAGTCACTATTATTCTACCTGTAGCTGGCTAGCTGCATTATATTACCTGGTATATTGGAAGCTTTGCCGTGTTTTACACCGTTTTCTTTTAATGTCCTTCCTCTTTGTATTGTTTCAGCAGAAGTCATTTTTAACAATGTCGCTGGAAGGTAAGCCTGATTTTGTGCACAGTGTGTTTATACAGACACTAACCAGGAGGGGATCCCCACTCTTGAGTTTAAGCAGAGGTAGTTGTAGAACTACGCTGTGTGTATGCACGCACTTTGTGCCACACGCAACTTTAATGAACAATCTGTTACTCCCTGAACGTGTGACATGGACTTTGTGTTTCTGGGCCTTTTTTGTCTGTCTGGACTCCTAACTAGAGAAAGACTGACTTAATCAGATATTGGATGTTTTTAAAAACCACTAATGGACCGTGCCTGTGCAAACTTCATAAATTTACAAAGTAAGAAAATAAAGATGCAGCTACTTTTACCATCATCTTAGTGTAGCTCGCGATTTACTTGTTTAAATTTTAGCCACAATGCTTTTCCAGGTGTGCAATTTTTATTTTCTCAAGGGTTGTTGAATATAGGTTTATTTTAAATTTCCTTAAATAAAATTAATATTTTAGCTAGGGCTGGACAATAATTCGATATCAATTATATGTCACGACATACTTTTATTCAGTAACGGTGATATGAGT